TAAGCAAATACACTACAGTATTGACTGCCTCTGCCCAGAACATGTATGGAAGACCCTTCTCATGCAACATCGACTTTGCCATTTCCACTACAGTCCTATTCTTCTTCTCTGACACTCCATTTTGTTGAGGAGTGTAAGCCATAGTTAATTGTCTCTGGATTCCTAAATCACTGCAATATCCAGTAAATTCCGCAGAAAGGAATTCTCTTCCTCTATCACTTTTGAGGCATTTCACCTTATATCCACATTGTAGCTCAGTCATTGCCTTAAACTTCTTAAAACATCCAAATGCATCAGACTTATTTCTCAGAAAATACACCCATGACATCCTTGTGCAGTCATCTGTGAATAGCAAGAAGTACTTGTTTCCAGAATGAGATTCAACTTGCATTGGACCACAAATATCCGTGTGAACTACCTCCAGTGGATCCTTAGCTCTCCAAGCTGATTTAGAAGGAAATGAGTCTCTGTGTTGTTTGCCTAGCATACACCCTTCACACACATTTGTGGACATCTCTAACTTAGGCAGTCCATGCACCAGCTTCTGTTCTTCAAGTAATTTCAGACCTCCTTCATGCAAGTGACCCAGCCTTTTATGCCATATCTGAGAGCAGTGTGTGAGACTTGCTTTTAGAGCACACTGAGTTATAGGCATCATTGTCAAAGGAAAGCATCTATTTGCAGTCATATGTACTCTTACTACCAAGTTGTCAAGTGACCAACCATAAAAAACATTCACTACATCACCTCCAAACAACAGATAATAGCCATGTTCCATCATCTGTCCTACACTGAGAAGATTTTCCTCAAGTCCAGGAACAAGCATCACTTCTTGTATATGTTTTCTTCCCAGTTTAGTCTCAATCACCAAAGTTCCCTTTCCTGCCACCTGTACAATTTCTCCAGTGCCCATCTTTACCTTAGAGGTCAAATTTCTTTGAACATCAACGAACAATCTCTCATCACCTGTCATGTGGTTGCTACAACCACTGTCTATATACCATGAATTATTTACCTTCACATCTGTCACTGCATTGCAAGCATAAAACAACGATCCTATTTCTCCCATCTGCCTTGCATAATTAGCCTTCTGCATTCCCTTGTTCTCATGACAATCCTTTACAGAATGACCTGGTTTCCCACAACCTGTGCATTTTGGTTTACCCTCATACCAACACTTCCCATAATGTAACCTGTCACACCATTTGCAATCACCTTGAGAATTGTTTTGTTTCTAAGTATAATTAAGCCTATTATCCCAATTTCTTTGAATGTTGTTCTGTCTCTGAGCATAATTGGGTTGTGATCCCAACCTCTTTGAATGTTACTCTGCCTCTGAACAAAGTTTGACTTATGATCCCAACCTTTTCCTCTTGATTTCCAATTCTCTTGAGACCTGTGATTCCCAGAAAATCCACCACTTCTAGCACCTTTAGTTGCAACAGTTAAACTTGCAAATGCTTTCTCAGTAGAAGACCCAGCATGTAAATCAAGCCTCTGCTCAAATCCTTTTAGAGAAGCCACAACCTCTTGAACCTCAATAGTCTCAAGATCTCTAGAGTGCTCAATTACAGAATAGATAGCATCATATGTTTTAGGAAGACTAATCAGTAATTTCTGCACTATTCTCTCCCTAGATAATTCTTCTCCATAGCTTTTCATTTGATTAATGATATCAAACAATCGAGAGAGATATACAGATAATGATTCACTATCCTTCATACGAGTATATTCAAAATCTCTACGTAACCCTTGTAATTTTACATTTCTTACTTGTTTATCACCTCGAGATTCACCTTTTAGAGCATCCCAAGCTCCTTTGGATGTCTCTTCATTCACGATTCTGGGAAAAATCTGGTCCGAGACTGCGCCTTGAATCATCCCAAGCGCACGAGCATCCTTCATCAGAATCTCACTGAACGACGTTTCACCTGACATCTCCTTCTTTGTCTAGTCAACCGTAGCTTCTTTAGACTTCGGATCTGAAGATTCCAACCCATTTTCAACCAGCTCCCATAAACCATGAGATTTTAGAATGGTTTTCATTCGAATACTCCAGAACTCATAATTCTCTCCATTGAAAACTGGAGCTCTAAGTTCAACATTGCCGGATCCAGCCATATTAGACTTGGATTCAAGAAATCGTAAATTTCCAGATTCGATTTGAACTCAAGTATGTAGCTCAATCGAACTTCACGAACTCACAGATTTCACGCCCAGATTAGACGATGAAACCTGGCTCTGAGGCCATGCTAATGTTTGTGATTGGTGATATGTGTTTCAATGGAGGTTCTGTGTAAGGGAAATCAGACAAAGCTCAAGAAGAAGATGAAAGGAAATATGCTTCTCACATTTCACACAGTGAACACACATACATTTTGTTACCGTTGCACACAGAAGGAAGGGAGATCCTTCACACTCCAATACACAACATAATCTCAACCATTCATTGGTATCATCCTATGAGATAATGCCCCATGTCTAATGCTATTACTTAAAACTAGATACAACATTGAGTAACCATGTGGACTATGATCCAATGGCTAACATTCAAACTGAAATGGAAAACATTTATGAAATGATCTCAGCCGTCAATCTCCAGCTGAAGGGTTACATTCCAACACTGGAACAGTGTTTTGAGATAACACGAATTGTTTGTTCATGATCCTTTCAATTGCAACTTCAAATATGGTTGCCACAGTGCTTGCCAAAAGGGTTCGTTTCTTCGCTGGTGTTCTTGTTTTTTGTAGTGTGATGTGATCAATTGTTATAAGCATCATTCTGTACTTACTGAGGCATGGATGGCATCAATTTGATACACATATTTACATGCATATGTACATGTGTTCTTATCTGTTTCGTTCAAGTAGCATATGGTGATTCGTGATTCTCTATGGCTACCCACTGTGTATATCCCTTCGTACAGGGCTTTCGAAAAAGCTGCTATGCAAGAGTTACTATGAAAGTGTAGTTTATTCAGCATTTTCTACGATTACAGAATTATTGTATACCGCATCGTGCATTTTTGAAACACTACTGCGTATACACCAGTAATAAGTAGTTTGTTGGTGTTAAATTTTTTGAGCCTTGTCTTGTGCTTTTGTTTTTGTTGTAACATGAATTTTGCAGTTTCTTAGTTCTCTTCTTAATATGTGCTCCTCTCTTTCGGCTTACATTTTTTACATGATAGTACTACTGTACTAGTGCAGGATAAAAATGGATAAAAATGAACTGCAGCATCAGATATCTATCTTGCTCTTTGTGGGGTTGACTTGGGGAACTCTGATGCTTTTGTTCAAACAATTCCTTGGTCCATGGGCACTAACCGGTAATCAAGGCTGGTTCAACTTGTGGTTATATTTATATGACACAGAGATGGGCTTGTTAAATTAACTTGTTTGTAGTTTTGTACCATTAGAGTTTGCACAAAAAGAATAGGCCGTTAGTGGCTGATGAATTCTCTGATGTTAGTTTATTCAGCTTCTGCCGAACCAAGAATGCGCATATTATACCTGCAGGAAGCAAATATGTTCAGGTTCGTTTTGTTTTGGACAAATCCTTACTCGGTTAAAATAAATGTTGCTTGTTCCTAATTCCTATGCATAGAAAATTTGATAGTTCTTGGTTTTGTAAGGTACCATAATGACAGAGTTCATAACTGTTGAATGTTTTCTGTTCTTTAGCTTTGGTTGTGTGGAATCGCACATATAACTTTGAGGGATTATATGAAAAACCTTCAGTGCACTTGTCCAAGCAGCTTGTTATATAGATATTCTGAGCGTAGATTTGGGGATTAACTAAGGCCACCTATTCACTCAATTTTTCTGCAGTCTTGTTAACTGAAGATGTACTTTCAGTCAGTAGATTCGGGGGTTAACATGGCCTGGGATTCTTTTTGGATTGGCTGTTCAAAGTGCAAGGTGTGATGACTTTCATCTCTCCTGCATCATCAATCATCTTTGCAAGAAACTACTATATCAATCGCGTTAAGCCTCCTAGTGGCATGTTGAATCTGATATCTTGTATTTCAACTTCCTAGTTTTGACTACTTCTATGGCCTCCGCATGCTTATCCTACACTTATTTACCTCTTTTCCTTTGATAATTATGAAATTGAGGTTCTTATTGCTAAAACTACTTTCCTGTTTCCTCTTCTATTCCCAATCTTGGTATGAAAGATTCACTCGGACCTTTAAAGGCTCTGGTGGTTGCCAGTGCAGTGAACGGCAGTGGTCATGTAGTCCTCTGCAACTCGTTACACTATGGTATTACTGGTGAAGAATGGCCACAAATGGCATCACAAGCATGTCGGATAAACATTTCCATATTTAACATATCTGGTTTTGCTTATTTAATACGTTCGTTTCAAGGCATTTTTAACAACTCAGTGTTTACACATACGCATTATATAGGGCTGCCGCTGATCACCATGTGTTCCAGATTGTTGTTGCTTATACGATGATTGAAGCTCTGAAGAACAAAGGATTTACTGCCTTTTCCATCTCCATTCCATCGTGTAGTGAATTTCTACAAATATTTGGGATTGCGAGCCGGTGTTTATAACAATATTCTCAACGGTGATGAGTATAGGACTCACTGTGAGTCCAGCAAACATCAATGGCTGAGGAAAGCGTCACACACGATTGACGCTAGCTTTTCCTTATGCATTAATAACTTGTATTTCTCTTGACCAATTTGTAAGGGTTTTCAATGTAGAATATGAAAATCTAAATATATAAGTGCTTCCTATTAACTGTGTACACAATTTTGGCGTTCAAAGTTGCCATTTGATAGCTAAACATTGCATTAAGATGAGATTTCAGTTTAACACAATGTACTTTTGATTTGAAAAATGATGAATACAGATCCAGAAAAATACATGAACTGCACCAGCCCCGAAATAAAACTCGCAGTCAGAATCAAGGGGTTCCAATCCCATTCCCAGTATTTTCGAAATGAGAATGGACCAGCATACAACAATAGCCAAAAGACACTTGTAACTCAGTCAAGTAAAACTAGACTCTCGTTATACACCTCAATGTATCTGCTCAAGCCATAAAAACTTAGTTCGATTCCTGTATCCTTAACCTGTTGTGATTTAGGATCATATAAAACCAACTCTCGGGAATGCCAGTTTTCTTTTCCTGCCGCAAGATGAACTTCATCCTTTGTCGTAATGCCTAGCGGCCACGCTATCTCTCCACTTCGTGGAAGAATAATTGTGCGAATCATTTTCCAAGTATCCCTTCCCAGAACCCATATGTTACAGTACCGATCATTCACATTTTGTCTTAGATGAAACAAAGAGAGATTTCTTGAGTACATGAATACTAATTGCATTACTAGTTGTCTTGATCACGCTTACTAGTCTTTCAGGAAGCGTCATGGTCTGGAAACTCTCGCTGCGCAGATCAAATGATAGGATAGAGTAGCAACGTGGAGAGAAATCCTCAACAATCCAATACACAACTCCATTCAAGCATGCACTTCTATCCTGGAAATAGGCATTATGTGAAACCGGAGGAACAGATGACCTGATTCTTCTCCAAGAATCCAACCTAAGGCTGTAAACCTCAGCTTCGCGGATACACTCAGCGCATCCAGCCCTCACAATTTGCACAACTTTATAATCGTTTTCTCAATGATCGAAGCCAAACCCGAGTGTAGTGATAGCGAATTGCATGCAACAAATGAGGCATTTGAGGTCTCTTCATTTTTCTAATTGACGGGTTCCATAGATACGTACAATTGTCAAATGTAGCATCAGATATGCAAACCAAATCACTGCATGAACTGAAAACAGAGAAACCGAAACTGATCAAGTCCCTAGGAAGCTCAAAATCCAAACACTTGACATATGTTTGAGCACAAAAGAGTGACAAACACTCTGCATTGCTAGTGCTGATAAGTAGATAACCACCAGCACTTTTCCTGGCATTCCAGTCGAGATGCGCGCTTACAAAACTTGGGCTGCTAATTAAAGCGTTCCAAGATTTGCAAACACGTCTCGACTGCAATAGAGATTTCACAGGCAATCTTGCAAAGATTTTGAAAAAGAGTTCAAGGGGTATGCGTTTGAACATGTTGTAAACAAAAAAGTATACAAAACTCGAGTCCTTTTACCAAAACAAAAAGTGCTTTCTGAAAAAGCATTTCATTTACGAAAGTAGAAGAAATGCCTCGTTGATTTGATTTTATGTAGAGAAGAGGCAATGGGGAAAAGAAGAGGCGAGGAAGGATATGAATAGTAGTTGGCAAATGAAGTTATCTCCCTCCATGCCAAGAAAGCAAAGGAGATCTCAGAGCACATGGCTGCCATGTGGCGGTAGTGGGTTGTTTTTATTTTTTATTCCAAGATAATGGGTCACTATTCCAAGCACTTGGAGTGTAAAACTTTACTTTTAATTTATTTTTATGGCGTCCGATAATAGTCACAACATTAACATCACATCTTGTTTACCCATACTACGTGGATTTTATTTAAGCTTATTATATTAGTATCCTAAATATAAATAAAAAATTTTAACAAAAATTTGTGATACTGTTTATTTTAACGAAAAATCATATTTTTACATAAAAAAATCAAATCTTGTACTATTCACTTTACCCTTTATTTTATCTTTATCGTTAAAACTAAAAATTTTCAATCATTTTTTATTAATTTTTCTATATATAAATACGTTGAATACACCTAACCGCCCGCCAAAGAAGAACACGAAAAGGCCGCAATCCTTCCACGAGGCACCAACCCAGTTCACTTTAACTTGGACCAATACAAACCACTCGCCTTCCATCATCCTCTCCTCTCCTGCCCGACAAGGATATCCTTCTTAACTTTTTCTTTCATTTTCCCAACTTTCTCTCCTTTATTTTCCCAGAAAGTTCCCCACTTTCCCGGAAAGTTAAAAAAAAAAAAATGCAAACCAAAACCCTGGTAGCCCACTCTCCTCCTCTCCTCCAAAACCCTACTCTTTTCTTCACAAACCCACCACATTTCTATTTCACCCCACGCTTTAACCACACACCACCTGGCCTCCCCAAACTCCACTTCTCCACCCCATTACGCCGCCGTAACCGGTTCACAACCTCCTGCATCGGCGACGGGCTTCTTATCGGAGACAATGGGAGCCATGCTTCTCCAGTATCTGAAGAAGTTGAAGTTGTGAAGGTTAAGAGAGAAGAATTGGAGAGTAAGAGCACATGGGATCAGATGAAGGAGATTGCAGTGTTTACAGGACCTGCCACTGGTCTTTGGCTGTGTGGCCCACTTATGAGTCTCATTGACACAGTCGTCATTGGTCAGGGAAGCTCTATTGAGCTTGCTGCTTTGGGTACTCTATTATTCTGCTTCACTTTATTTTTATTTTTTATTTGGGTTTCATTGATTTATTACTCTCTTTTTTTGAACAATAGGATATATATTCTAAACTACTCTAATGTACAGAGAAGAGAATTCGAGCTTAGCAATGGGGCGGGCAGATTGTCCCGACCAACTGGCCTAACCCACCTCTGCTTTTTCTGTATTGGTTTAACTTATGGATGCTGAGTCTGTTTTCTGCTATTTTTCTAGGACCTGCAACTGTGATGTGTGATAGTCTGAGTTATGTGTTCATGTTCCTTTCTGTTGCAACTTCAAATATGGTTGCTACTGCCCTTGCTAAAGGGGTTAGTTTCTCCTCTTGTCCTGATGCTTGTGTGACATTGTGGTGAATCAATTTGTATGTGTTGATTGCGAAAATGAGTTCGACGCTCCTTTTCCATGTTTTTGGTACATTTCTTTTGCCACATTGATTCAGAATATGAATTTTCTTCGGCAATTTGGTGCAATTTGCCAGGAAATTAAAAGGATTCTAAGAATCATATTATGTATTGTACAGAACATGAAAGTATGAACTTTCTTAAGCTGAAAACAACAGAGGGATTGGTTGCCAGATTAGGAAATTTTGGAATGCCTGCCAATAAATCCATAATGTGTGCTTTTGGATTCTTGGGCTAGATCATGTGCAATATTAATCACCATTTTCTCTTAGCATGATTTTGTTATATTGTCTGACTATCTAGTATTGGTGCAGGATAGAAATGAAGCTCAACATCACATATCTATCTTGCTCTTTATCGGATTGACATGTGGCTTCGCAATGCTTATATTTACAAGATTCTTCGGTTCATGGGCATTAACTGGTAAGAGGGACTGGTACATATTTTCTATATATTTACATTAAAAGAAATATTGGGTGCTTGATTTTGTTTGTTGTTATCTCATTAATGCATTTTAGCAAACAGTAAATAACAAGAGTTTTATGATTCTGTAAAAGTAGCATAGATGAGTCATGACTAATGCAATTCTGGTTTTTCAGCTTTCAGTGGACCAAAGAACGCTCATCTTATTCCTGCAGCAAATACATATGTTCAGGTTTCTTCCTTTTTCTTATTTAGGCCATTTATATGCTCTTTTCTTTGAGTTGGTTACTCATTTTTCAGAAGATACTTTCCTTTAAATCAATTACCTGGTCGAGAAGTGTTGAATATCAGAGAAATTTTGTTTTGTTTGTTTGTTTTTGTTAGAACTTGTTTTCTATGAATCATTAGAAGGTCACATATACTTGGAACGATAATAAGCTAGACTCTGCATTTTCTTGTCAAGCTATCCTTCCTCATGAGGTTCTTTTTTGATATTTTCCTATTGCCATTTTTCATATTTCTCATTTGTTAGGTCCACATTAACTTGTGAACTAGGTTCTAAACAACGTGTTTGCAACGTTAGTTTCTTCATGAAAAAAAAGCAGCAATTGCTCGATAATATCTTGTTAGAAAGACAATTTTTTCTTAATTGGTTGTTTTGATATTGCACGCATTATCTTCATGGCTGACTGTTAGCTAGTGTCTATCATCTTACGAGAATAGTTACGAGAATAGAGTATGGTATAGATCAACTGAAGAGGTATGCATTAAAGTATTTGCCCCAAGGAGGAATCCTAGAATTCCGTATTGACGTGTCCTTTGCTCTTTTATGACTGGAAAATAGATTTGTTACCATTTGTCCTATACTCTTGCACATAATTTCTTTTCAATGGCTTTGTAATTGAACACGATATTTTCTGTTGGTAGATACGAGGTTTGGCGTGGCCTGCAGTTCTTATTGGTTTGATTACTCAGAGTGCAAGGTTAGATATTTCTTCTTCTCTTCCCATTCATTATGTATGGCCTAGCTGTGCTCTTTGTTCAAAATCATCGAAAACTATACAACAATGAATATTGTTAAGTCCAAACATCTTTTTTGGGATATTAAATCCATTGGTTGAAAAGAATTAACTGCCAGAGAAAGTAAGGCAATATGTATGCACTAGAAATTCAACTTCCACCAAGTAAACATGACTGATTATATGAACTAGCATGTCAAAATTAAGTGTGAACAAGCACTCTTGTTTATTGCCTAAGTAAATGCTCTCTGGCATTCATCAAAAAAAAAAAAAAAAGGAAATGCTCTCTGGCTTGTCCAAAACAAGTATAAGGCAAGCATTTATGTTTGACTCGAAGACTTATTTGTTGCCCAAGGGAAAGTTATCTCTGGCAGGGGATTTTAAATACTGAGGTTAATGAGATTGTAAGCAGCTGTGAGTTCATGTTCGTACTCTGATATTGTCAATATGTTTCCCAGTCTTGGCATGAAAGATTCATGGGGTCCTTTGAAGGCCTTGGCGGTAGCCAGTGCTATAAATGGCATTGGTGATGTAGTCCTGTGCAGTTTTTTACGCTATGGTATTGCGGGTGCAGCATGGGCAACAATGGTGTCACAGGTGTGTGGGACATACATCATAATATGTCATATAACGTTTGAATATTTTATTATATGTTCTTGACTCGTTAATTTCCTCTTTGATTGCTATTTACTGGTATGGTTTTAGGTTGTTGCAGGATATATGATGATTCAAGCTTTGAACAATAAAGGATATAATGCATATGCCTTCTCTGTTCCCTCGCCCAAAGAACTTCTAATAGTATTTGAGCTTGCTGCTCCAGTGGTTTTAACAATGATGTCGAAGGTTTCAGTTTTTCCAATTATATTTCTCTATCTATTCTCATGTTTTAACTTCATCGTTCATTTCTTCAATACTCTCACAACTGCCGGGGAGACTCTGGGGAGCACTTTTGTTAACCACCCTCAAGTGATGGTGAATATTACCACCACATTAATTGCCGTTGGATGAGCTTCATTAAATCTATGTGCTACACAAATCTCAAAATTCAAATCCAACGGCAATAATACGGTAGTAATGCTCACCACCGCTTAAGGGTGGTGACCGGATAAAAATGCTCTCTAGGGTGTACGTGTTAATGCTCCTGACCACAATGTTGGCGTTACATTCGCAACGATGAGCCTCAACACCTTTTGTTCGAAAAACAATCAAATCAATCTATAGTACATTCTATAAATTTAATAACTGAACACTATGACGGACTTAAACTGTTTTTGTTTTGTGTGTATATATATATATATATAAATTTTTTTTTTATGGGCACGATATCAATAACCAAACAAACTTGATCACCAAGTTCAACAAATACATACCATAAATTAAGCAACCAGTAGTCTACTGATCTATTAGGGAGCACCCAAACAAAAGTTACGCAACCAAGAAGCAAGGATGACTATTGGTTAAGAGTATTATTATAATTCTTATGTACAGCTATCTGGAAGAAGGAACCATTTTCTTTCAAGAAGACTAGGTCTTTAGAATTGATTCTCTGATACTATTTAAGAGAAAAGAAGAGAGTGAGATGCTTTAATCATAACTTTGAAAACGATTTAAATAGAATATACTCCTAACAAGTAATAGGATACCAAGCCATATGTTATAACTTACTTAGAATCCTATCTACAGGTGGCTTTCTACACTCTCATTGTATACTTTGCAACATCAATGGGAACAAACATCATTGCTGCTCATCAGGTTAGTTGTGGTAAACTTGTAATGTTAGTTGATCACTCTATTTGGAGATAAGTGACGGTTATTTTCATTGATGAGTGATGACTTACCATTCACTCACCAGGTCATGATTCAAACATTCTTCATCTGCACGGTGTGGGGTGAACCTCTCTCTCAAACTGCACAATCATTTATGCCTGAGTTGATATATGGAGTAAAGCGTAGTTTGCCTAAGGTTTGTCGTACTGCAAGTCTATTTGTATGATAACATTTAACTTTGATCTTGGTTGTATTTATTGTGATATGAAGAGTTTTTATGTATATTTTGTTCTTGGTTGTATTGGTGGAGATTTGAAGAATTTTCATGTGTATTTTGATCTTGGTTGATGGTTGAAAATTTTCTTTTAATTTTTCATGGATACTTCGTCTCTTTAGGGTCTAGAATGGCTTGGATTGGATAATTCACTAGATTTAACGAATGTTGAATGATCAATGGATGCCCACTTGCATATTGTGTCACAGTGAAGGTAGAAATGAAGCCATGAATAAATCATTTCCCTCCTTATCCTACTATTTTTGTGGGAGATAGGAGAGATAAGCTTTGTTCATAGCTAATCCATCTTCTACCTTCACTTGGACAAAAGATGCAAGTGGCGATCCTTTTATTCATTCAACATTCTTTGATACCAGTGAGGTGTCCAAATCCTAAACAACAAATGAGGTTTTTTTTTTTTTGTATAGAATTCTCTGCTTTTGATGAATAGAATGGGGGTGATGGCTATTTTGTTTATTTTCTTCTGAAAACTCTATGACATAAAACAGGCTCGAATGCTGCTCAAGTCACTTGTCGTTATTGGAGCTCTACTTGGTTTGGTATTAGGAATAGTGGGAACATCTGTTCCATGGTTTTTTCCTGGTATATTTACACCCGACCAGAAGATCATACAGGAGGTTGGCTCTCTTTGTTTATTATTCGAACTCCTTACTGTCTTTCTACTTATAATTTCATCTATTGACATTACTTCTAAGTGGCCTTGTGGTATCTGGAGCAAGGGAAGATTTAAGTTGGGTTTTGTCTCTACTTTGTAAGTTGTCAATCATTCAATCGTACCTACAGCTTTCCACCAAATCACATGATATAAGTAGACTGATCCCACCATTTATTCTTCAAAGGCATTTAACTTTTGAGCTCCAAATATCTGTATGTACGTGTGTGTGCGTGTGTATATTATTTTGATTATTTCCCAGGGCTTCCGTTGATCTTGAAACATTGTAATAACTGAGTGAATACTTTCTGCAAACATTTTTACTATTGATTCTCTATTATATGTTAACGCAGATGCATAAAGTGCTGATACCATTTTTTTTGGCATTGGCCGTGACACCGGCTATTCTCGCATTTGAAGGAACATTGCTGGTATGCTTGATTTTATCTTCAGTGATGATTTTTCATATGTTCTTATGGTAACCATGTCATTGCATATCTTGTGCCTGTCTTGGAACAACGATAGTCGAAAACTGAGTCATGTCTGTGCTGTGTTTCCAGTGGAAGTAATAGACAGTTAATCCTGTTTACATTGATGGGTTTGCAGTAGATTGATGGGTTTGCAGTAGATAAATACCATGGAATAGACCCGTTCATCTTGTTGATGAAGCTCTTAAGGGTTTTAATAAATCTAATAATCATGTTAATTTTTTAGGACAAGGGAAGCAGTTACCCCAGAAGTAGAGATAGTAATAGTTCAGTTCTTTTGGGCCTATGTTTCATAATCTCGCATATCTTTTCTTCTCTTAGCCGTTCTGGAACATATTTGTACTGCCTGAATTGGAAGTCATGGATTTCGTTTGTTCTTTAAATTAGAGTATCGCAGCACGAAGGCCAACCTACTTAACAAGATATAGAGTTTTGCAAATCTTGTTTTACTTTCTGATTATCAAATCCCAAATTAAGCTTGCTTTCATAAGACTGTAATTTGTAGTTCAAACTTGCGTTGCTATTTTGTTCTTGGTTTTATGTATTTACTAGAGTTCTTTTACAAAATAGGCAAAATACTTTTTGCTTTATTGTAAGTGTACCGTCTGTTTTTTTTTTTTCAGGCCGGACGAGATCTAAAATTTATTAGTCTGTCAATGAGTGGATGTTTTAGTTTAGGTGCACTTCTACTGCTGGTGAGTATCTTCTTGTTATTTTCTGGTGTATACTTCAAGAGTGATTAGTTTTTTATCGTTTATACATATAATTTCACCATCCCATTTTTCTTTCACTAGTTTGTTAGTAGTAGAGGATGTGGTTTAGCAGGCTGTTGGTGGGCACTGGTAGGATTTCAATGGGTAAGACCACCATCTTTGTTCTAGCGTCTCGTATTTTCTGTTTCAACTTATCTGAGTACTTCACCCAAAAGAAAACTTATCTGAATACAAACTTTCACTTTCAGGCTCGGCTTTTTCTGTCTTTACAGCGCGCTACATCCACCAACGGCATACTTTACTCTGAAGATACGAGCCGGTATCAACAAGAAAAACTCAGAGCTGTTTAGGTCCAGAATCATATAAATGCATGAGATAAACGGTGAAATCTTGGTGAAGGGTCAAAATGCAGTGTTACCATTTTAGGAGATACGAAATAGAGGTTGGCAGTTGACACTAGTTTTTTTGTCTGCAACAAGGCCGAAAGCACGAGCAAGTTGCAACCTCATGAACAACTGAGCAAATGGAGGCAATGTTTGGCTTCAAGAAAGAATTTCTGAGCAGCTATGCTGGTTCCCTGTTTGATCAATGTTGTAAAACTCTGTGCATTATGTATCTGTCCCAAAAACACGAACTCGTCTTCACCGCAGAAAATTTCAGTGGATACCTGTTGAAAATTTGCAAAATCTGGCCGGTACCCTTTAAAAATTAACAGTTTCGGTATTGTCCTGCTGAAAAACCATTTCAGTGCATTCCTGGGGAAAAACTAAAAAATTTTGTCAGAGAGCTCAAGCGAAAGATCCTCACGTTTTTGTAAGTCTTCTACCAAAAACTTGTAAAATGGTAAATTAATATGTATTTTCCCCGGCGACATGCCTCACTCTGAAGACATATGGGCCGCTTTAAATTGTAAAAACTAAGAGCTGTTTAGCAAGCATATCATGTTGGCTGTTTTAAAATGATTGAAAGTGTTTATATAAAAGTATTTGAAATCATTTTTAGTAAAAATACAAGTGAATTTTGTAAAAACACTTGAGTGCTTCATACAAGTATATGACTGGTACTTCTTTCAAAATGCACTTCAAGTGTTCTTAGAATCCAAAAATACTTTCATTAAGAGTTTTCAGTTATTTTAAAAGTAATTTTAAAATACCAGCAAGTTTCTAGCAGCCCAAAATGAGTAAGGTACTCTACTTAAAGTTCCAAACATGAAGAAACGTTTTTTTTTTTTTCCGTTTTATCTCCACATATAATTATCGCCATAGATTTTTATTTAGTTTTAAATGTTTAATTTGAAAGTGTGCTTAACTTTGTAAGATTTTTTTAGTGTGAATTTTGTATGTTTTTTAGGGCCTGTTTGTTAGTGTACTTGAATCTAACTTTTTAAACTAAAAAACAATTTTCAAGTTTTAAGCCTTAAAAACTTGGTAGAACTATTTTCAAAAATTAAACTCAAGACTAACTAAAAAAATATAGTCTATTATCTAAAAACATAAAAAGTGAGTTTTTAGAGTTTTTAAACTTAAACTCATTTCTTTCTTTTCTCTCCCTCCTTCCCCCTCACCCCAAATCTATCTCTCTCTTTTCTTCTTTCTCTCTCCTCTTTTTTTTTTGTTTTTTTGTTTTTTTTACCTTTTTCATCTCTCCTCCAATTCGCTCTCTTCATTCTTTAGGTTCTTTTTCTTACTCATCTTCCTCTTTATCCCATCTGATCCTCTATCTTCTTTCTTTTTCCTTCAATCATCTCTTACTTTCTTTCCTCCTCTCTCCTTTTTCTACCTCTCTTGCAACCCCCTCTTTTTAGATTTCTTTGTTCCAATTTAAGTCATAAGATTTAAAATTTTTAAATTGCAAACCAATCAAGTTTTTGAGTATTAAAGAAAATTGTTTTCAAGAAATTTTCTTAAAAAATGTTTTGAGAAATGATAAAAAATTTCAAATAGAATACCAAACAGACCTTAATGTTTATATTAATTTTTTTTAAAAGTTTGTAGATTTTTATTTATTTTTTTTAGAGTTGAATTAATCCTAACCGTTAAAATTTTTATAATCTAACGCGCCATGTGGTGGCAAAAAGCTAAAACATAATTAATTCCCCTACATTGATTAAAAAAAGAAAAATTTAAGTCCCTCACAAAAGTAGTAACCAAAAAAAAAAAAAAAAGGTTTTCAAACTGAAATAGTGTGTATAAAAAATGAGTGATAAATGTAATACTTCAAAAATTTGTTGGGTGTCCAAAAGTTTGTTGAGTAGGAAGAATAAAACTGGGCTACAAATGGAAGATTTTTTTTTTTTTTTTTTTCTTGTTAGCAAGCAACAAACGAACAAGCTAGACATGTGTACAAAGTAAATGATTGTATTAATGTAGAATTAGAGTTACAATCTCAGTTACAAAGTTTGAATCCTCTGATTTGATCTCCGGGCGGTAGAGTGTATAGTGTGTGGTCGTTGATTTGAGGGTCGCAGTGACTTGATCTCAAAAGAACGAATGCTGCAAGGATTTGGCTTGTGGCAATGGAGGAATTGACATGTGTAGGGGTGCTTGGTGGTTTTTCATGGGCGTGACGACGAATGTAGAGAGCTTTCTGAGTCTTTTGGGTGTGTGAGAGTGTTTAGTGGCTTAAGAGTTTGAGCGTTTGGGCATGAGAATGAATTTTTAAGGAGCCTTTCTTTGTCTTGGTGCCTCGTATTTATACGATCTCCAAGTCTTGGTTAAGGCTTGACTTGGTCTTGATTTTGGACTTGATTAATTGACGAAAGAACTAAGACTTGATTTGGGCTTGGTTCATGAGGACTTCATCAAATAATCTTTGATTTTATTTTTGAACAAAATAATCTTTGATTTAAATCAAATAAATCAATCACATTTCATCCTAATTGGCCATCCATGATTTGGCATTTTAAATCAATTAATTTGTTTGATTCCAATTAAAATTAATCAAAGAAGTAATAAATATAACTCCTTAATTAATTTCAGCCAAATGTTGACACGTGTCACTCTTGATGACTCATCCAGTTTTGATAAGTCATGTGCCATGAGTACAATTTATAAGACATACGGCGCATGCCACGTAAGCCCCTACATGTCGAGATTTTAACGTGTTGGTGAACATTTACTTCATTGAGATTTCGATGTGTACAAGAGTATTGAAGTTGTGCTCTAAAAGTCAATTTTGTAATATTAGATATTATGTAACAACTCTTTTTTAATTAATTAATAAAAGAGCAAGTTTTAATCATTCATGAGTTTGACTTTATATCATAGAGATAATACTATGAATGAGTCCATGGGACATAAGGTATGAAAATAATGTCCTAAAAGAGGTTAGGGTAGGGAGACTTGTATTCCATAGTCACTTAGTCCTTAAACAAAATTCTTAGCCGTTTAGAAAGTCAACTGGACATTGAATGTCACGCTCCGATCTTGTAATACATTCATGATTGATACGTGACGACAGAAAATACATGCTCATCAATCATGCCTCGAATTCGAGTCATATCCAAAAACAACTCAACGACTCAATAACCTAGGAAACCTTTTATTTTATTTCATGGCTGCATCTAACCTCTTTGTTAGACTGCCTACATACACTAAGGCGGGATCAAGTCATTCGTAGTTCTTCGACCCAAACTTTCTCCCCGTATTGTCCAATAGAAAAACATAGAGTTCCAAAATCACTAAATAGAACTCAACAAGCATGAATCACTAAATTATGCGTTACTTATTGACCATGAAACAATTAGAATTGTCATTTCATCATTCATGCATATCACATTGTTTTCCAATACAATTCTACAATCACAGAAAATAATCGATCAATGACTTAAAGATGCATAATATAACTACGATGATCAAGCAATAAGATCAAGTATCAATTCATAAAATTTAATAAAGCAAATCTCTCTAATTCCATACTTGAATTCCAAGCAACAACATTGTAAACACAAATGTTTTTCCATAGTAATTTCTATTCATAAGAATATAGGGTTCAAGTGACACACCTTGACCCTAAATGTCTATCTAGATTCTGAATTGAGATGTGCTGGTCAACACTCAGAAGGTGACAAAGTCATAAAGTATAGTGATACGGAAAATGTGAATAAATTTAAACCTAAAAGTGCCTAAATGGAAGAGTGCGCATGTGAGCGGGATTGAACCCAATTCACACGTGATGTTAAAGCATAAGTAAAGTACAATAAAGGTAGGATAAGAATTATACTATCGAAGGTAACCACTTATACCAAGATTTGCCAAGAATCCTCGTCGACACAAAAGCTCTGCTACTAAAACCTGGAGGAGCAAAAAACAAGGGTGAGTGGGCCTAAAATAAAGCTTTGTAAAAACCTTTTTGAAAACATAATTAACCCTCGCCGTAAAACAAGTATAGTTTCCACATATATATATATACTACGTATAGTATGAAAATACTTGCCGTAGCCAGTAATATCTCAATAATACAATATGTCACAGCAATTCATAAATAATCACATAACATTCGTTAATCACATAATTTTGCATAAACAAAAATATCATATTAAGTGCTCATCGACATATGCTGACACACGAGTTCATACAGAGATATTCTGACATGAACAAGATTGGGTGTAATAATTATTTACGCTTTATTATTACAATCACATGAAGATTGGTGCTATGCGCATCACATACGAGTCCTAATTGCCTATAGCAATCTAGGACAGGATTGTCACCTACAATGGATCCAAAGTGAGTATACGGTGCCATGTAAACATACACATGAAAGACTAGTCATAGCCTTGGCCCTGGCTCAGGCGAGTACTAACACCAGCGCAGCACACAATGACCAGATAACGTAAATATGATCATACAACGGTAAATCGATAATTATAGTCAACATAATATTGTTCATGACCACAAATATAATTAAGGCATCCTATAACAGTACGTATGCATGTGCATCCCGTAGGATTCAAAATAATTTCATAACTCTTAACATTACGATCTTTCTTATAAATGTTAATTTAATTATGGCAATCACGTAGAAAATTCATTATTAAATATATATGTGAAAACTAAACAAATATATATACTATATAAAAGAAAAGACCTACTCACAGATACTTGCGAGGTCGTAGTCGTTCGAACTATGAAAGTCGGAGTCTCAGATAGTAATCACACCTAAGCATAATATTGGGACCCATTAGTAAAACTCAACTAAAATGACTAAATTTGGGAAAATGGAGTGCAGATTTGGAATCAGGGCATTAAAATATGCTAACAAGGTTCCCGGGCAATTTTAGTAAAAGGTCTACACAAAGTCAATGGTCAACCTTAAAAAGTCAACTAAGATGCCGAGCCAGTTAACTACATTAAAACTTCAGAATTTCACAAAATGGATGTCAAAAACAGACTCGGGACATCGAAATTAGCTTAGGAAGGTTTCCGAGAAAATTTTGAAAAAGTCAAAACAAGGAATATTTCGAGAATATTCCAGATCCATTTTGGAATTGGGCTGGGTTAGATCCCGGATTTGGATACGGATCTGGGTTTTGGATCTTTTTTTTTTTGCATTGGTTCGGGTTGACTTATTTAGACACACGGGCCGCACAACACCGGCCGGATCTAGAAAGGACAAAGTCAAAACTAGGAAACAAATCCCAGAGCTCCATTCAAGCTCGAATACAACCAAACTTAGCAATTTATAT